CACAGATCATAGATCTTTCTCTAGTCCAAACTAAGTGACATTTGGAAGAAATGGGGAGAATCAACAGAGGATACATTGGAACGGGACAGAATTGTGCTGGCTTTTGTGAAAGCCTCCCAGACTAGATAAAATACTCAGTTCTTCACCAGGTCTATGGCTGGGCTAGAAGTAGTAGCTTGGGAGAGAGTATGTAAATCCATAAAACATAACAGCGCTTTCTCTCCATGCTTGTGTCATGGTTAATCATCCAGAAACTCCAATCAGAACTATTAACATAATCATTCAGGCATAAAATTGCCTAAATAGAAGCTTGCTTGCCTTGACTTTTCAGCTGAGGTTGGGCCCTTTTTCCCCAGCATTAAAAATTGAAGGTTGACATCTCCCCGCTCCCGTTGAACATCCATCTTCCATTATCTGAATTATCCTTTGTCCTCTCTCCTCCTCTTATGCCCTGAAGTACAGACTAACAGAACCATCTAAGCCACCTCCCCACCTCATGCATCAATAAGGCACTGAACTTCATATATTTGCAGCATTGAAGGGAAAATATTAATGGAATAAAGGCTATAAAGCAAGCAGACAACAGGCATGCATAGTCATGCAAGAGACAGGATTCTGGAACAATGTCTGTGAAATAATCTGCGAAACAAGCCAATTTAAATGGCACCATGTGGTTCCAGGTTATTAATTCTCACTGATGTCCAAATCAAACTTGTTCAGTCTGAAAAATAAAAATAAAAATAAGGACGGGTGGGTATGTGTGTGCGTGGGTAGAATTCAAATATATTCCCTAATCACGTATTTAAATGAAGGAAGCAAATTCAGCTCCTCACTGCTGTGCCAAATATTATTCTATTTTAATTTTCAAGATGAAAATGACTATTATGGGGAGGGGGAAAACATTTCTTTAAAAATGTGGTATCTGTGAAAATAGTATTCCCTTTTTCTACTTCTGTCGAGTTACATTGTCCCCTTAGCTATTCACACTTCTATCTCTTTACTCCAACAGTCAGATTGGTGATCTCAACCAATGAGGAATCACGTTGCAAGGATAATAATATCATAGTACTACATAGCCAGACTTGACTAGGTGCGGATGCTATAGTGAAGGCAAATGGAGGCAATTTAGAATGAAGGCAATGTTTACTGGATTAGTCACAACCAACCAGGGATCATGAAATGAGTGAAGTACTGTTGTAACACTATTAATTTCATTTAGATAACATCATTAAGGACAAGTAAATTCAGACAAAAAGCAAGAGAAAGCAATGTAAATGAATAGTGAACACTCTCCAGGCAATTTCTGAAAACAAGTCAAAAAGGGAGAATGTTTTTTTAGCAGTGCTAAAAATGCTGTCCTCAAAGGCTAAGTATTTTTACCTCAGCTCATCTTACTGTTGATGTAGAACTGTAATTGTCGTCACTGCAACTATGGGAAAATACTGGTGAGGGAACAAATTTAATCCAGAGTGGGGTATTGTGTTAGAAATGAATATGAATAGACCCCAGCTCCTCTCACTGATACCTCACACAAAGCAGGTAACTGAGATCAAACCAGAAAAAGAAAAAAGAAAAAACCCACATCCTGTAGTAAGAAGGTGGTATGTTGAAAAACTACTCATTCATGGGAGTACTTAGAGTTATAGTTTGATCCCAAACCCACTGAAACCTTTGGAAAGGTCCCACTAATTTCAAAAAGCTGGCAATCATATCTTTTCATTAAACTGTAATTTTCTGTTATTAAGTTCTATCACTGTTCTTCCTGGGAAACACATGACAAGCTGGAAATGAATATAACAGATCACAGGCCGCAGATGCAATTGTCCTCAAGAGTTATTTTGACACAACAATACTTCTTCTTTTCTTCCTAGAACACTGGAACAATATACAAGAACAGACAACAATCCAGAGATGTCACTTTCATGCCAAATGGAAAAAGGAAAGGCTAACTCGTTAACCAGAGCATACAAACAATTCCCACAATGCTCTGGAATGAAATTGCAAACAAAACATGTAACCTGGTATGGTCCCACATGGTCTACTTTCATTACCTATCTATCAAGGTACTTCATCAGTCTATGCTTGCACTGTCAAACACTGAGAGACATCTTCCCCTGCAAACAGCCATATGTTAGTCCAAGGTAATTTGATTAGGAACTAAATACATGTTGCTGTTCTCCTTGCAAATCTCGGCAGCTTTCCTTAGGCTCAATTTTCCGCTGCTTGTTTCTACACTCACCATCATCGCTGGTGTGTGGCTCCGTGCCGTTGTCATGGTCTGCTTCATCAATGGTGCCCGGCTCACTGTGAGGGCTGTCACTAGAATTGAAGAGGGGCAAAGAAATACACATGGGTTTTTAAATGTGGAAGAACAAGTTTATAGTTCCTTGCCAGGACAGAGGGAACTGCTGGGATTGCTCTGGACTTTGTTTCAGAATGGCAATGGTGCTACTTCTCATTTAAAGCCTATGGTTGCATCCAATCTGACTTAGAGCAGAATGGGTCTTAAATTATGCTAATATGGGAGCAAAGTCATAAGATGCAATGTCTATATTTGTACTGCCCTATGTTTTGTTTTATGAAGCTATCTGTTCAAAGGACATTGGACTACTATAAGAGAAGCCCTTTGATCCTCCAATCCCTAATATGTACCCATAATTCCCACTTGATCTAAAGTAGCAATTTTGTAGTAAACAAAACACAGAAACCTAACACTTGTTTGTCTGGTCGCTCATGCAGGTTTATGTCTGGTGATTGCCTGCTTGACACATACATGCCTCAGTGGGCAAGGTACATCTGTAGCAGGAAACACATTCTTTTTTCTGTCTGATCACTTTTTATGTAACTGATCAGCTGGAAACAGACCACCATTTATTCCATTCCTGGGCTTTGTGACTGATTATCAGAGAGGTCAGTTCATGAATCCACTGGTGCCCCCTAAGAAAGAGACAGACCAAGCAAACCATCATTACTACCATCACCACCTGATCCTGCTGTTGTCGCCTCTGTTCCCTCATAAACATTTTTTTGAACAACCAACTGCTTGGTGAGCAGGATGGAGAGCAAGCAAGCGACTACTACCATCTTGTGGTGCTCTTCCCCCCAGGAACCAGGATTGGCCTCCTCATGGATCATTTCAAGATCTAGCTGACTCGTAAGGAGAACAGAGAGACAAGTCCCAAGGGTTCTATTGCCATCAGCAGTGCCTGCTACCACACATATGCACTAGAACAACTTTCCTTTTTTCAGACAGTTCAGGAACAAGTCAAGGGTCTCCACATCACATGAAGAACTTCAGGAAGCGGGAAATGTGCTGGAGCTGTACCATTTTACACCTGCTTACCATGTGGTTGGTCCCTGTCATGTGGATCTTTGTTGTACGAATGCTATACCAGCCACTATGTGTATTTGTTGCAGAAGAGGTTTTTGAAATTGTTTGTATTTATCTTTCTGTGATTTCAGCATGTTAGAAGATGATGCAACACTTTATTTTGCAAGCAAGACAGCAAGCTCATTCACGTACCTGTGTCTGTGTGTGAATATGAGTGAGTGTGAGTGTGTGTGGGGGAGGAGAAAGAGAAGAGAGAGAGAATAATGAAGAGAAAATAAGAACTATGTGGCAGAACGAGGGGGAGAAGAGTGCTAAAACAAGGAAAATTGTATTCTAAATGAGACTGGGCTGATGTATATTAAAAAATGCTCAAATTTTGCACTTAGAATGATACAAATACACTGTCAAGATTTGCAGCTCTTGAGTTATACCAATGGGTTTACTATCATAGCTTAAATTAGTAACATTGCTAATGTAAAATCTGATTATGATTATTATTCCAAGTTAAAGTGAGCATACAGCAAGCTGGTTGGAACAGGGGGTGTGGGTATTAACTAGTAGGTGTTCAAAGCCATAGAACAACTTCCTCTGCTCCAAAAGGGCCAGAATTGCTATATTAAATGATGCACAGGTCTATTCAGGGCTAGTAGCTTTGTGGGCTACATGGAGCATTCCCTGGTCAGGACACTATGGCACTGAATACCAGTCAATGGGAAGCAATACCAGGAGGACTTGTGGTCTACATTAAAGGTGTGTGGAACTTTCCTGGTAGATCTGCAGTAGATCAGCAAGGATTTGATGCACATTCTTTACTTTCTTTCCAGTTCTGTGCCACTATTTTGCACCCAGCTTCAGTATACTGAAAAACTGCCTATGCCTGGTCTCCATGCCCTGTACAAGTAGCATCTGGATAACCACTGAGGGATTCCGGAAGCTGGCCTAGATAGCCCTTTGGTGTGATTCACACTAGCCCTAAGCTCATGGGGTCACAGGCACGAACCTATCTCAAGTTAGTAGTTATGAAAGAGACAATTTTCAAGGGTTTATTGCTGGGAAAGGTTAATTCTCCCTATCCCATATCCTGCAACCCTCCCCTCCAAATTTGCCTGTACATGGTAATTGAGCTTCAAAAACAAAAGATTTCTATTGGTCTGGGATGATCAGAGTCAGAATATAAATTAATTTATTTTAATTTATATTTAGAGTCAGAATGCATTTTATTCTTGATGATTTGGATGAGAAAGTAATAGCTAGTTTTCCCTTCTGTGAAATGTAAATAACTCCTACTGTTATTCTTCTAAATGTGCATACACATGCATACAACTTAACATACACAGATTTTATGTAGATTTGTATTCTATGGGGCTGGCCCCAAGCCTGTTAAGTGTCTAGTAATGTCCTTGGTGTGGATCCAGCAGGGCTCCTCTTATGTCAACCCAGTCAAGAAACTAAGGTTCCATTTGTTTCCTAGCTTGCAACAGAAAGAGCATTGCTTCAGATATTTCATAGTAAGAGACTTCAAAAACAAAAAACACTGATTTTCTTAACTAAATGCATCCAGAGATTCTGCACAGAAGTCCCATCAAGCACAGTCAAATAAATAATCCCTGCATCAGCTCCCAAATTTATCACACCTGAGACAAGCAGCTGTACTCCATTTAAATAAAACAAAAATAACCATTTGCAGATACCAAGACATATTTTTATCTCCAAATTTCTTACCAGTATTCTTCCCCACCAGTCATGCATTTTTCATAAATAGGTCCTTCCACCTCCCTGAGGCTAGGGAAGATGGCCTCATGATTGATTATGATGGTTTTGATGACCTCATTGACGTGAGCCTGGCAGGAGACTGGATCCTGTCCATCTGGGATATGCATCAAAGTTGGCCCAAAGCAGATAGCCAAGTTGTATGGATCCATCATGTTCTCATCACTATATTGTGACAAGCTGCAAATGCAAGCAGATCACAGCTATTGCACCAACACAAACCATGCTTACAAGCATTGCTTACAGGCACATCCAAAGCTGGACAAAGGGTAGCCACTCTCAGAAGTGGCACCCTTCCCTTGCCGCCCAACCATGGAAGAAGGACCACTGAGAATTAAGGGAATTTACAGCTGTATTAAAGAGTTATAGCAATTGAAGGGACTCACTGGTTGAGGAAGGCAAAGAGGTATCTCATGACAATTATGACGGCTCGTGGTAAGGTGATGATGATTTGCTGGATCTGGTGCACTCTTTCTGCGAGGTTTTCAATTTCTGTAACACAAGCATTTATAATACCTTTAAGCTTACAAATGAGACACATTCAATTAGCAGACCAACTCCGAGGAGTTTTGTTGGTTGAGTGTTTCTTACAGATGGGTATTTGTAACTAGTAACTATTTATGGCACCCACTACTGTCTGCAAAAAGATTAAATTTCTGAGAAGAATGAGGAACATATCTGTAAATCAAGAGCACTGCAGTCCAACAAGGCTGTAGTCCACCCAGATGCTTATGGGACGCCCACAAGCAGCACACAACACAATAAACCTGTCCTGTTATTTCCCAATTGCACATGTTCCCGCAGGGGGGAGATCTCGAGGAAACTAATCTCCTGGTTTCACTATGCAGTAGGTGAAGAAGTGCTTCTTTTGCAATGCTGACCAATGGCAGAAGCCAACCTGGGAAACTGCCATTTCCTTTCTAGAGGCTTTCATCAGAAACAGACAGGCAGTGCAATCCCATGGCCACCAGACAGCATTGACTTGGCCTCATGATTCTTCAGATTCTCAGCTATGAGGTCAGAAAATTGCTCTGATCATGTAGCTGAGGATCCACATGCAGATCCCCCAGTTACCGCCTCACAGCCAACACAGAAGGATCTACACTGGCTGCTTCTCTGAGGTCGTGAGAGCATCATCTGAGAAAGGCTTCTGGGGGCATTCCAGGTGGGTAGATCAGGGAGGAGGTAGGGTCTGCCAGAATACTATATCCTGGAAGTGCCTCAGCCTTCTTCCTTCTCTCTCTGAAATTAGTCATCTCAGTGCTTTGCAGAAGAGGAGTGGAAGCAACCTTTGTGCTCTCCCCACCCCACAGGATGCCCGTAATCCTCCAAGTTGGAGGGTTATTAAATACATAAATAAACCATAGGATGCAAGTATATCCTGCCTTAGACTAGGATTATGTATTAGTTTAGCCATGTTTCCTGTATGATTCATTAACAAAAGGACATCTTGTGCATCAATTGAGGATTAAACCAAAGAAAAGATCATTTAATTTGAACAAGGCCAAATTTACTTTTTCTATTTTTTTTTCTGTACTGCTTTTGGACCAGGATTCCTCCAAGTTGCTAGCAATAAATCAAAGATAAATTAAAACTATTCATAACTTAGTCTTATTAATATGAGGGCCTTTAATTAAAAGCAGTTTGAATGCAGGGATATGATTTTAGTTGGTCCACAGCCTGAACACAACACTGAGATGTAAGAATATTTATGCACATTTGTTGAGGCTTCTGCTTATGAGAGAGAGAGAGAGAGAGAGAGAGAGAGAGAGAGAGAGAGAGAGAGACACTTCCTTCTCACACAAATAAACAGCAGATTATATGGCACTGCAGACTTTCACAGGATGCAAATACCCTGCAACATGCACAACAGTATATGCTGCCAAGAGTCACTCAACATAAGTTAGCAGGAGCCAAAGGAAATCAAATCAGCTTTCTGCTGTGCTGCAGTGCAAGCTCCAAAGGAGAAAGGCAGGTCTGCACTCTATTAGCCTATCCTCCTTCATAGGCATGTGTGAAGCAGTATTTCATCCTTTGGTTCTGGCTTTTTCTCATTTTCCCAGAGAACAACTGCAGTTTGGGTGAAAACAAAGGATCAGCTCTTTCATTTGAATCAGAGTTGGAACATAACATAGTGTACATTCATTGACAAATGCATCTCTCTACATCACTTCCTGATCCCCACATGGGGGACAAAACATTGTCATGTGGGGTGGCCAGCCAACCAGTAATTACTGAGAAGCTCGGCCATAATGCTCAGTCTGCAGTATGCATGGCACATCACTTAAAAAGATCACTGAAGAATAAAAAAGAAGCAGAATCATCATCATCTGCCTGGGTTATTGGGAAGACTGACTAGAATAATTGGTAAATGACATATAAATAAAAACCCACCTCTTCAGTTCAATTAGGCTTTTAAAAAACATATTCTGATTATTCTGCTCACCTTACAACCAGTTTCCAGACATTTAAAAGTTGTCATCTCACACAGCTGGTGGCACATTGGCCTCCAAGTATACCCAATGAGGGATGTGAAAGGCATCTCATACGGGAGTGAAAATCCAATGGATTTTCTCAACTCAGCCCCACAGATTCCATTCTATGGACCCTGCATGGGCACAGACTTGATCTAATGCCAGCTGAGCCTGCACATGGACTTCCATTCTGAAAGCAGGTCATGATTGCTCTTTTAAAAAAATATACAAAATATACAAAAATATACAGAAATTTGCGCTAAATTCAGGCTTCCACTCTGCAAGTGGCACAAAATTTGTCTGACTTGCAAAGGCCCAAATTTGAACAAATCTGAAATTCACTGTCAAAAAATTCAAGCTGGGGAATGTTCACGCATACAGTGAATGCAGGATACTTTCATGTTAGATGCTACAATAAGAAGAGCAACAACAACAACTTGAATCTAATAACTTATTCCCAATTTGCACAATTCGTGATTTGCAGAACCTGCTCTAGAGTTATGCAGGTCCAAGTCTGAACAAATATTTTGAGCAATTTTGTGGAAGCCAAATCCTTCTCTCCCAACTCGGCCCACTTTTGACCACTGGGTTGGAAGTGTACTGAAAGTGTATCAAGCTCAATCAGAATGAGTCTTCCAGTGCCATATGTCTCTAGACCCAGCACTATATCAATACCTTAATGTACGATGTAATATTTATTATTACATGTATTATTACTACTACTACTGCACTGCATTGGTATCACACCTTTTCTTATGGTCTGTGTTCAGAAGAGAGCAGTCTCATATAGTAAGGGCTGTTGGTTTCACCAGCATGTGAACTAGCTGTGGCATATTTACACATATACCTAATTTAAAGCACAGCTACAACCTATTTTATGTTTTAACACCACTTAATTGAAAATAGATTATGCTGAAATCAATAGGCCTTACACTGTAAATAAATGACTAGAGCACCCAAACGACACAGTCTTGGTTCACTTGTATCATTTCTAGTAGGAGAGAAGCAAATGACATGCAGAAAGTGGCAGTGGGGCAAGGTGAGAAGAAAGAGAAAGAAGAAAACAAAAATAAAAAGCTATGAGTAAACTTTCTGTAGGTAGAAACAGCGGCAAAAAGATACTTCATGTGACTGTTATAATAATTTATAGTGGTTCTTGGTTTTCAACAAGCATTTTTCAGTCAAAATGCAAGGAACTAGAAGAGAAACTCGCTTTGCAGGGACTAAAATGGAAGTGACACCGGAGTTCTGTTACAAATTAGAGATTCATGTCCGGAGAAGAGAGATAGAGTAAGGGAGCTCATCCTAGCAGACAGCAGACCTATGATTTCTGGGCAAGTGTCCCAGGGACCACAGGAGGACTTGGAAAACCGATATCGAGATGCGATATCAAGCATCTATCAAAGACAATCGGCCAGGATTTTAATTAATGGAGAACTTACAAGGGCTATAGAGATACAAAAGGGTACAAGGCAAGGATGCCCATTGTCACCCCTATTGTTCATTTTGACTTTAGAGGTCTTGAATAGAAATGTTAGGGATGACGAGAACATTAAAGGTACTAAAGTTAGGGATGAAAATTATAAATTGCAAGCATTAGCAGATGATTTGGTCTTTATAATAGAGGAACCTTTTGTAACAACCCCTAAACTTTTACAACGGATTGAAGAATATGGTGAGGTCACGGGGATGAAAATAAATAAAGAAAAAAAGAAACTTTTAGTTAAAAATCTTATGCAAGATCAGAAAAAAAGACTCCAAGAACAAGTGGACTTGCAGATTGTTAAAAAGGTTAAATACTTGGGAATTTATCTTACAGCTAACTTTGAAAGAAGACAATTATGATAAATTAGTGAAGGATATTAAAGGTGATCTGGAAAGATGGGCCAATTTACAATTGTCTTTGATGGGAAGAATAGCACTTGTTAAATGAATATACTACCAAACCTTTTGTTTTTGTTCCAAATGATTCCCAAAAAAATTGATAAAAATTTTTTTGAGGATTTAAATTTTCAAATTTCGAGATTTATTTGGAGAAAAAAGAAAGCAAGGATTAAACTAAAAATGCTTCGGGTTTTGGTCTTCCTGATTGGATATTGTATTATCAAGCGTCTATTTTAACTTGGCTAAAAGAATGGATAACCTTGTGAAATAAGAGAATTTTGTATCTTGAAGGACATGATTTGCAAATGGGTTGGCGTGCTTATATGTGGTATGAGAAGGTTAAGTCTCATGGGACTTTTTTAAGTCACTTTATTAGATCATTAATGTCAGTGTGGGAAAAGTTAAAGTCAAAATTGTATAATAAACTACCAAGATGGCTTTCACCTATGGAAGCTTTTGTGTATCCAAATGTATTGAATTTTGAAGGGATCATAAGATATGATGGTATTTTGGATAAGGATGGAGGCCTGAAACTAGATCAAGAAATACAAGAACAGGGACTCAATATTTCTTGGTGGTGTAAGGTGCAGATGCAATCAAGATATGCTAAAGACTGTAAAATATGGGGGTTTCATAAAGCTCTAACAGCCTTTGATCAAGTGATGCTAAAAACAGATGAGAAAATGATTAAAAGAATTTATGAGTTCTTACTTGACAGGAAAATGGAAGGGCAACAGGTTAAAGAAACTATGATAACATGGGCACAAAATTTTGGATATAATATTGAATTAGAAAAGTGGCAGAAGCTATGGGAGAGAAATATTAAGCTAACTTTAGCAACTTCGTATAAAGAAAACCTGTATAAAATGTTTTATAGATGGTATTTGTCACCAAGTCGATTAGCTAAGATGTTTCCAAATATGTCAAACAGATGTTGGAAATGTAAACATGATGTGGGTACTTTTTACCATATGTGGTGGACCTGTGAATATGTGAAAAAGTATTGGATTAAAATACATAAATGGCTTGAGGAAATGCTACAAAAACCCTTTGCTTTTAAACCTGAAATTTTCTTGTTGGGCATTATACCGGAAAATATTAGCAAACAAGAAATGTATTTGATGCTACATTTAATCACAGCGGCGAGGATTGCGCTTGCTCAATACTGGAAGAGTGAGGAACTACCCACGGAGGAACTGATTTTAAAAAAGATTCTGGACTGTGCAGAAATGGACCGATTGACTCTATTACTGAAGGAGAAAGAAGATATTGACTTCTATCAAACTTGGGACCTTTTTTTATGATTGGCTGGAGAAATGGGACTTGGCTTAGATTTAAAGATGTCTTTAAATTTTTATAAATCGATTTGAATATGATTACAGAATGTTAAAAAGATACCTTTATAGGGGGCTGACCCAGTACATCCGATGTAATTGATGATTGATTTTTTTAGTTTTTAGTTTAAAATCTTAATAAAAAATGTGCAAAAAGAAAGAAAGAAAACCCCTTCCAAGGTCAGAGACAGTGTTCCAACCTTGGAATAGGCAGTTGGAGATGACCCTCTCCCCCTTGCAGGCAGTATGGAGAGAACCACATCAGCTACTACTTGGAGGTGAGAAAATCAAACTCACGAGAAGGAGGAAAGGGGGGCATTGTGGTGTGAGGAAAGGAAAAAAGAGGTCATGATGGATTATCTGGAGCCTCTTCCAGCTCCTTCCCTCTCCCTTTGAAGCTTCTTTGCTAGATGAGCTGAAAGGCACATGTACCAAAATCAGTACTGAATGGGCAGGCAATGATCCTTGCACCCAGCCCAATTCAGTACAACAAGGCATAGGAACTGCAGGCACCTTGGAGCTTCCAAGCAACAAGGGGACAGTCATAGGCTTGCATCTTTAATTTTAGCTCACTGATTGTACTTACTTATAGTAGAGATCAAGTCTTGAAACCTTTCCTTAGGAAAGAGTGGATTTTCCAGCCCCCGGAAATACAACTTTAAGACCCCAGCAACAGAATTAATGTCTCGTTCATTTTGATCATCAGAAAGAGGATCTTCACCTGGAAAGGTAAAAGATTTATTTCTAATGTAAATAAATTGTTGACGTCTGAAATAAGCAGAAAACACCATAGCATTTTTTCCAATCGCTCTGAAAATAAATCAGGTATATGGCCTCTCATAGAAGCAATGAGTAATTCCTTTCATCCAATCAGTTTACAAATTGTTATAAACAGCACCATGCCCCTTTATGCATCACACATTACCTCCAGTAGGATAGGATTAACTTGTATCACAGTAAGAATTGCAGGCTTTTCCTGTAGGCCAAAGACTGTTGCCATTTGATATTCTTTCAGTCTCCCTGTTCCAGGGACAATCCATGCATGTAGCTCTACTCGGCATATATGTGCAATATCATACTGTATTGATAATACTATTATTGTTATTCATTGTATTTATATACCACTTTTTCCTCTTATGAGGAACCCAAGATTGTTTGCACAGCTCCATTTAATTCTCACAACAACCCTGTGATGTAGATTAGTCTGAGTGTGAGTGACTGGCCCCAAACCATGCAGTGAGCTTCATAACTGTGTGAGGACTAGAACCTGGATCTCCCCAGTCCAACGCGCCAATGGCCACACCAGATTGGCTCCCTTACAAGTATGACACTTACAAAACACTCTTGCAAACAAATTCCTGTGAACAAAGTTTTATCACCCCATGATGCCAATATGTTGGGTTTGGTCCAGGCTTCATCATCATGACTACGAGTAGGCCCTCTGAAGCAGGACAAGTTAGTCAGGACTAATTCAAGGCCATTGAAACCAATGGCTCTACTCTAAGCATGTCTAAGCCTGAAACTAACCAAGCCTTTGCCAGCCTGGTGTTCTTCAGATGCCTGGAACTACATCTTTCAGTGTTCCTAACCACTGTTCATGCTGGCTGGGATGATGGAAGTTGAAGTCCAAAGAATTAGGAGGGAATCATGTTATGAAAGGCATATTTGGTTTGTGCGTAGATCTAGGGAGGAGAAGAGAGAGTGAGTGAGTGAGTGAGTGATGTAAATAGGGTCAGGCAACCTGTACTCCCATGTATGTTTTGCTGGGCAATATTTTCATTAGTTAAACATGGCTGTTTCATTTGATAATTTTAATATTTACTCATATTTCACTCCCATCTCTTTTTTCTACAGCAGTGATGGGAAATTCATTATTCTCCAGATGTTCAGATGGTTTGGTCTACAAGTCCTATCACCTCTAGCCAGCATCGCCAATGTGATGAAGAAAGATGGGAGTTGCAGAAAAGCATACCTAGAAGACCGCAGGCTGCCATTCCCTGCGTTAAGGAAAGTGAAAATGTCTTCCGAGAACTACAGGCTTCTCACGTACCTCTTTCAAATGAGTTCTTGATATCATTGACTTCAACCTGAGATCCAGGAACTCTAAAAATACCCTGTTGTTGTAGCCCTAAAATGAAACAATAGGTAAAACTATGTGGAAGCAACCTGCACATTTAAAATTTAAGACATTTTTGAATAACTCCTATTTAGCTGCTCCTGAGTTTAACTAATAGATTGTACTGATGAACTTGAGAAAACTGGCCAGATAGCAGAAGCGCCACACTTAGCAAATAAATATACTAACCCAAATATTAATCATACCTCATTTACTTTCTTCTTTACCTCTAACCTGAATTTACCTTTATGTACAGATAAAATGGCAAATTATCTAACCTTAGTTTGCTACTGAAATATTAATAATGACAGCAGTGGCGAGGAGCACTTTCTTTCAGCTTCAGCTGATTCACCAGCTGCATCCCTACCTGGAGAACGACTGCCTGGTGACAGTGACTCACACATTGGTAACTTCCCGACTAGACTTCTGTAACGCGCTGTACGTGGGGCTGCCCTTGAAGACGGTCCGGATATTGCAATTCGTGCAAAACAGAGCTGCCAGGTTGCTGACGGGGACTGGGCATTGTGCTCACCTAACTCCAGTCCTCCATCAGCTTCACTGGCTCCCCATTGAAGTCCGGGCCCAATTCAAGGTGTTGGTTATCACCTACGAAGCCCTTAACGGCTTGGGTCCTGGTTACCTAAAGGAGCGCTTACGTCCATACGTGCCCTCCTGCCCCTTGAGATTGGTGGCAGAGGCCCTCCTCCGGGAGCCCTCCATGAAGGACATTAGGAGAGTGAGTACCCAAAGGAGGGCTTTCTCTGCGGTGGCGCCCCATCTATGGAATGCATTGCCCAGAGAGGTCTGCCTGGAGCCATCGTTATTTGCTTTTTGGCGCCAGGCCAAGACCTTTTTATTTAAACGTTATTTTAATTGTTAATATTATTTATTGATTTTATTTCTTTGGCCAGGACATCTCCAATTATATTCTTTTATATGGTTAATTATGTATTTATTTATTGTTGTGAGCCACCCCGAGGCTTCGGCGAATGGGGCGGCATAGAAGCTTGCTAAATAAATAATAAATAAATAAAATAAAGAATGATTCTGCGAGACATCAAAAATATCAGGCAAAATTAGATGCATGCCCAGAAGGTGTCTTTTGCAAGTTTCCTGTCCTTGGTGAAAACAAAAGCAAAATCATCAGAGGTGGGAAGTGACGAGGGAAAGGCCTGAGTTAAAAATGTTCTTGCCTTGTCAGATGTGGATCTTCGCTCAGGCAATTCAGACTCTTGCAGTGAAAGAAAAGTTGGAATCTTCAGGTGAAAGGCAATTTTATACTTTCACTCGGCCTGCACAACTCTGCACTATGGCTGTTAGGACACTCATCCACAAGTAGGAGACTGAGATCCAGCAAGCACACACGTAAGTATTTACCACTCAGAAAATGTTCCGCTTTAACACTAAGTGCACAATTGACTGAAAATTTAAACATGGAGAATTCCCGCGACTCAGTATGCCCTAGTCAGCTTTGGGCCATGCTCGACATTGCAGTCCTTTTCTCCTTTTAAACTTATATAAACTTTAAACGTATACACCTTAAATCAGGGGTATAGAACTTGTGGGATATGGTCACTTGCACTGCTGCCTGAGGAACCAAGGGAACTATTCAGGATCATAACCCTAACTGCACTGCTGGATCAGCCCAAAATTCCGTCTTGCCCAGCATTCTGTTTATACACTGGCCAAGTGCCCTTACAACCCACATGTAATAGCTCCCTCCTGGCACCTTCCCCATTTACCTCACCAACACAAGGGAAACCTTGGAGTTTAATTTGCTTCAGTGTCATCAACGGTTAGGCCTTCCTTACCTCCGCTCACTCACCAGAGACCAAGGATAAGTAAAGGGGTTCCCCTGCTAATGCAAACACTGGCAAAGGAAACCTGTCTTTTAATAGAAACCCATGTGTGCATGTGTGTGTGTTGGGCAGACACAGGAAATAGGATCTGTATGTGTAACTGCCCAGGGAGCCTTTGAGCTGATGGGCAGGCTGGACCTATGATAGACAGCAGACAGATACACAGACAGACAGACAGAGGAGAAAGAACTGTATGTAGGCGGAAACTGTCTATGGACCTGTGTGTGATGAGGGTACACATACATCATTCCCAGCCTCCCATGTAGTATTAATTTGGATTAACATACAATAATTATTCTAATTAAAGCTCAGATCCACATAAGTAGCCAATTAAGGTGGCATATCAGTTTTCATTTCAGAAAGAAAGTTCTGATGGCAGAATTTCCAGTAAAAATACAGGCTTTAGTGTTTTCAAGGGACCAAATTAACTTACCATATAAATTGATGTACCGAATGCAACTTTCAACCACAAGTGGAATAGCCTGTCCTGAATCCTTTGAAGAAAAAAAAAAAACTAAAATGTTAAAAAACAAAGCATATTGGTTGGATAAATTAAGGCAATCTTTTAAGAAGCATGGCCAAGCAAAGAGAAGACTCAGGTTGACAAAAAAGCACCATTAGTTTAGTCACAGAGTTAGCAAGAGATTAATATAACAATGATTTCTAAGTTTTCAAATAGTGCTTCTCAGACCCTACAAGGTGTCAGCTGCTTAACTATCACTCTCATGTACACGAAAAGATGGTCCTTGGTATCCTTCTGACTTAGCTTGAAGCAACAGGCAGCTGGATCATAATGTTCACTTATGATAGGCTGTGAGCCAGGCCAGGACTTTTGCAAGATTTCACTGTTGTGTTGTTAAACCCTACAGACATTTTCCACTTCTATAAAGCATTTCTGAAATGCTAGCCTGAAACTAGGAGGGAGGTGGGGGAAAGAATGACCCTTCTGTGATACTTGGCTTTGTATTTACCTCTAAATCAGCAAATCAAGGGAATTCTCAGAGTTTGGTATAATTTCAGCAAGGGATTGTAATGGCATCCCTTCAATTTGGATTATGCTTATATAGTATTTACACACGCACACCATTATGTTCTTTTTCCCAGATAGGGAGCCCTGCAGTAAATACCTGATTTCTTGTTCGAGCATTCCTTCTTCCTCTGATAAGCAAATAAAGCAGCAAAGTAGGGAAAAAAGAAAAGGTTAAGCAAGAATAAGGTCAGTTAAAGCAAGCACATCTTCCAGAGGCTATGAAAGCTCAAATGCAATGGCAGCTTAGAAGGATCTAGTTCAAGCTCCAACACCCCAAATAACTGCTTAGTATGCAACCTCTCACCTCAGTGACCATTTCAGAAGCTCCCTGGCATAACGTGCTCCATTCGTCTTGTGCCCACACCCAACTTCTTCCAACAAATCCATTACGCAGATGCCAGGAAGTGTCTCTCCTGGACCCGCTGGCAAAAATGAAGCCATGGTAGGGCGGGAAGTGAAATGTTATTGCTATGGCAGTTTTGTGTATGTGTGTTTTTAGGGGGTGGGGGTGGGTACCAGTTACAGGGGTTGCTGTTCTTCTTTAGCTCACCTTTATGTCTACGTTCTTTTATATTTGAGTTTTATTTTTATGTTTATGGTATGGTACTAAAAGTCTCTCTGACATCCTAAAAATCTTAATACATAAATATATAATACAACCCTTCCCTAATAGTTATTGATAGACATGTATTACTGATTGCATTACAAGATTTTAAAGCTGACCTTCATCAAATGTTTATTAGAGGAATGTGCAAAAATTGATCTTACAATAGCATATAAAATACCTTCATGAAAGAACTTTTAAAGGGTGTAGATACAATGGGAGAGGCTAACCAATTGCCAGGCAAACAGAAGTATTTCAACCTGATGCCAAAAAGATAGCAAAGCAAGCATGTGTCAAACCTCTGTGGGAAGGGTCTTCCACTGCCAGGGCACCACAGCAGAAAGGCTTCTTCTCCCTGTGACAGGCAAGGCTGGTATTGGGAAGGGTGCTCCTTCAGGTGCTTAAGTCCTGAGCTGTTCAGAGCTTTATCAGCCAAAACCCAAATCATCAATTTGGCATGGAAATAAACAGGCAGTCCATGAAAAGTCCTCAGAATCAGTGTCATGCAGTCCTATCTGGCCACATCTAGTTTTAAAGTTCATCTAGTAGCAATCTGGCAGCTGCATTTTGTACTAATTGAAGTTTCTGGGTCATCTTCAAGGGCAGTCCTACGCACTGTGCATTACAGTAATCCAAATGGGAAAGAACCAGAGCATGAACCTTCATGGCAAGGCTATCCATTTCCAGGAACAACTGTAGCTGGCAAACAAGCTGAAACTGGTATCTGGCACTCTGGGTTACCAAGGCTACCTGGGTTTCAACTGACAAAGCTGGATCAATGCCTATCCCCACCCCAAACATGTACCTGCTTAATGAGGTGTCCAAAACAATTTGATGCACACCCAATTCCTGGACATAAGAACCATGTACCCACAAGGCCTTCATCTTCCTCTGGTTCAGTTTTGGTTTATGGGCCTTCTTACAGCCCATTACCAAATCCTAACATTGGTTCAGCACCAGCAGAGCCTCACCTGACACAGAGAAATAGAGCTGAATGCCATCAGCATATTGATGGCACCTAGCGCTTGATCTCTCGGTCACCTTGCCCATCAGCTTCATAGAGATGCTAGAAAGAATGATGGGATAGGACAGAACCTTGTCATTCCTGGACTTTCTTCCATGGCTGAACTTCTTCTACAAATGCACCCCTGCATAATAAATTTAACATACTTCAGGACACCAAATGGATTTACTATGGGGGATGCATAAGGAATAAACCTCAGTCATAGGAGTTCAAAGAAAAATATAAACATTTGGCGACATTTCTTTTAGAAATCAGAAAGGCCAATGCTTCTAGGGTTAACACTTTGGTTCCAATTGGACACTGAAATTTGCTGTTGCATGATTCACCATTCCTAGTTTAATTCAAGCAGCTCTCTATTCTGATAAATTTCCAGTGGAATTTAGTATCCATGGAACAATGTTGATTTTAATTAGTATTACAATATTAAATATAATTCAACTTTGAAAGAATAAATATTTCAAAAAAATGAAATAGCTTTGTTGGTCTGGACTGAATAATACAGGGTGGCACAGGGAAACATGAAATTTTCAATTGATATTCAATGCATGAATGAACACATTACAAAAACATTTTATGATGAAATGCATTGTACAGGATATGCGATTAATTATGGTAATCAATATTCATTCAATATTCATTTTATGTCTTGAAGATATCATCATGAAGGTGCTATCCATTTCTCCATACACATTCTGGGAGCCTGTTGTGGAAATTCTGTATTGCTTGACGTAGCAGGTCAAGAGGAATGCCAGCAATCCTCCTTTTTAGTTCAGCAATGGTTTCAGGACATGTATGGTATACTTGGCTTTTAAGATGTCCCCACAGAAAAAAAATCACAGACAGTGAAATCGGGGGATCTCGGAGGCCATGGAGTGTCACTGCTGAACACCACCTGGGGAGTTCTTTTTTAAGGCTGAACCAGTTTCTTCAAAACTATGCACCCATGTTGTAATCACATGAGCAGAAGGGGCACAATCATGGCATCCTAACTGGTAAGGATGCCAAAATTTCCTTTGTGCAGCACTCATACTATCACCATTCTTACAAAAGGCTTTTACAGTGAACACTCATTGGGCACCACTCCACTGCTCCATTATAACTAATGTCAAAAGGTTCTAAACGAGGTCGTGCTGGTTCCAAACAATTGCCAACACCCCAGGGTCACCAACTCCTAGTTCCAAAATGTCCCATTTCCCTGAGCCACCCTGTACGTATGAACAATATACTACCATACTGAAGCAGAGATTCTTGATAATGGCCTAATAAACAGCAGGGATCCCTAGGTGGTGCTAACATGGGATTTGAAGAAAGGAAGACACAAGAGAAAGTACAACTTGAGTTAAACTAGAAAAAAGGGCCAGGATTGGACTTTATGGTTAGGCAAAAGATGGACAAGGGCCTAAAAGTGGTTTGGAGGTCTGGGCACTCCAGACCCTGATGTCAAGGCAACCCAATGGGGACAGTGAAGGCCATGAAAGCATAAGGACGTGTGTGTGTTAAGTTCATCTACTGCTCTGAATTATGGATATATGGTTCTGATTGTATTAATTTTCACAGAAATTTCAGAGTTTATATACAATTTCTATGTGGCCTCCCATCTAGGCAGCTTAAAAAGGTCACACCTGCTTAACAGCACACTATCCCATGGCTTCAGGCCTCACTCTGGGATGGTCATTAGACCCTACAGTCTCTTTAGAACAAGCATGAACTGGGCATGTTCAGCTTTGATAAGAGAAGACTGAGGGGGGGGACAGGATATCACTCTGTAAGTACTCCAAAGGCTGTCATGAAGAGGAAGATCAAGAGCGTAGGTCATAGAATAACCATTTTGAGTTGCGACAACCCAGATTCAGGCTGGACATCAGGAAAAGCTTCCTCACTGTCAGAGCAATACAACAGTGGAACCAGCTGCCTTGAGAGGTGGTGAACGCTCCCACACTACAGACATTCAAGAAGAAACTGGACAGCCATCTGAGTGGGATGGCGTAAGATGGTGTCCTGCAAGAGAAGGGGGTTGGACCCAATGGCCTTCATGGCTCCTTCCAACTCTACTATTCTATGATTCTAAGCTCTTTAAAAGCATGTGTTGCATCTTTGTCAAGCCAAGTTAAACCTTTCTAGAAAAAAAAAACAGGTTAGTCAAGATCACTAGGGACATTCAAAAAGCAATTTGCTCTTTTACTAGAATAATAATGGGAAACTTAAATGTGTTTCTCCTTACACTGATCTATACTGCTTTAAAGAAAACATATTTTTTCTAAACTCATGGCTCAGCATCATTTTTAAAGATGTGCCTAAGGCATGTGGCTGAATGCTGGACAGAGATGGATTACAAAATAGTACCGATTCTTCTGTCCAATTATAGCTCTGTTTCCACAGTGTTGGTTATTTATTTATTAGATTCTATCATGCTTTTTTCTTAAAAAGAACTCTAAGTGGCTTACATAATTCTCCTTCTCCTGCTCTTATTCTTATCCCCATAACAGGTAGGTAGGTTGGGCTGAGTCTATGACTAGCCCAAAGTCACCCAGTTGGCTGCATGACTGAATGGGGACTAGAAACCAGGTTGCCTGATTCCCAGTGCTGTGCTACACTACAACACAATTGCTATAGCTGTTTCCTAATTAGCAGGGAGAGCAATGCAATCTGTTACAAAGCACATCATGTAGTACTGAGTTTTGTTCACATGAATATTTTATGGTCAAAAAATGCAAGGGGAGACCATTTCTCTGCCAGATGCTTGGTGTAACACACACACACCTTTGTTTAAAAGTTTCCAAGAATATTATTTTCAAATGCCATCTGGGGGTGGGGGATGTTGCAATGTTCTGATTATTTTTAAGGTCCTGGGTTAAGGGATGCTCATTTGTTCAGCACTGGCATCAGAAGCTCAACTGTAGCTCAGAGTATTTTATCAGCTTTAGCAGCTGTAGCCTTAACTAGATACAGCCACTTGGCTACAGTTGTCCATTGAGACTATTGTAGTATGGTGTACATGGGGCTGACTATAAAAGCAAGTGAAAAACTGCAACTGATAGAGAATGTTTGTTGTTATGTGCTGTTGAGTCATCTTTGACTTATAGCAACCACATGAATGAATGCTCTCCAAAATGTAAACTCCAGGCAGTGGTTTCCTTTGTAGATTCAATCCATTTTATAATTGGCTTTCCTTTTCTTCTTCCCTGCCTTCAACCTTTTCTAACACAATTAGCTTCTTCAATGAGTCTTGCCTCCTCAGTATGCCCAATATGACAGCTCAGTATTGCCATTTTTTGCCAGTTTTGTAAAAATTTCCCTGGAAGTTCTGGCTTGATTCGATCTAGGGCTCATTTGTTTATCTTTCACGCATTCTGGGGTATTCACAAAGCTCTCCACCAACATGTCTTGATTGCATCATTTTTCCTCCTGTCAGATTTCTTCATTATCCAGTTTTCACACCCAATGATAGTGAGGTACAGAATAGGTATGCAAAATTATTGTGATAGTGAATATTTTGACCATATTACACCTATGTTTTACCAAGTCTATTTCTTCCAGTCTATTTCCGGGCCAGAAAATTTGAACTTTTGGCTTTAACTTTTACAGTCCCAAGTGGCCCGGGACCAAGTTACCTGAAAGATTAGCTTCTTCCATATGCAACTACCTGAACCTTCAAGTCTTCCTCTAAGTGCTCCTGTCAAAGGAACTGACACAGGTAACTACTAAGGAGATAGCCTTTTTGGTAGAGGCAGAGGAATTATCAAACAGCCTTTCCAGAGAGGTTGACTGTGCACTACTTCTTGGTCTTCTGAGCACCAGGTCAAAACCTTTCAGATCACTCAGGTTTCTTAACCAAGTTATATTTTATGGCCAATTTCTCCATTTTAAATTAATATTTTAGTTGTGGTGTTAGTTTTTAATTATTTTATATTGGATTTATCTTCCTTTTTTGTATTATTTTATATGCTACAGTACTTGTGCTATTGGGGGAGGGGACGGGCAATCCTAGGTAAGCTTAGGTAGGGGAAAAAAAGGCTTAGAACTGCCAGCCTGCTCTCCCCACATGCTAGATGTTAGAGGCCCTTTTTCTGTCTAAACTTGCACAGGATTGTGCCTTGAGTTATCTTACTAAAATCCATTAATTTCAGAAAATGGGGAAGGGTAAAGAACAAAAGAGAGAAAATGGGTCATTTTCTATCCACCCATACTCTTTAGCTTCTTTCCTCTAAATCATTCAAGATTTCACTATCCACAGAATAAATAAAGGCCACTCATTTTGGTTCTGTTAAAAGACTCATCCTTTCTTAAATTACAAAAAGCCGTATCAATCTGAGCACCATAATCTTCCAAGTGTTTTTGTGTTTTTGCTTTTATCTACCGCAAATCTCTTTCCACAAGAAACAGATATGCTGTTTTTAAATTTCAAGATGTTCATATGAACAGTAGCTTATAAAAACATGGTAGTTTTGCCTGTAGTTGTAAGCTATTACAATTAGCACGCTGACAGGCACAAAGACTGTTGTGTCTTTAGTATTTCACAAGGGTTGTTACTATTATCTCATCCTTTCCAGTTGGCTCACAGAGGAGTGAGTTACTCCACGTGTGGATATATCCACACAGTTTTGCAGCGAAGAGCAAAAGCCACCAACATAAATAGTCACTGAGGCAGACAGCGTACTAACCACTTTAATGGTGTGATGTGCAGTGCATGAAAGGCCAGGTTCAAGAAAAGGAAACAGGTCAGTGGTTAGAAGAGAAAAATGCTACCATTACATCCACAGTGTTCACAGACTCTCACTGTTAGACAGCAAGTACCTTAATGAATGTTTCCATATTGCCGTTAAAGAGTTTATGATTATAGACTGAGAGAGGCCTAGGTCTCCTCATTTTCTGTGGTTTAGGGGGAAGACATGGGGGCCTGAGAAAAATGGAACAAAAAAGATCAACAAAACGTCAATATGAATACAACGGCAGGGAAAAATTTCAAAGATCGCACACAGAAAGATCTAGTGGGTGAAAGGCCTCTGTGAGGCATAGTGCTTTGGCTTCAACCATAATATGAGACCACTACCGCTGTGATTTCTTCCTCAAATAGCTATCATTTAAAATATTGGCAATGTGAGGAATTTAGAACAAGGACTCACCTGTAAAATATAGTGTTTCCCAGTTTGGAGGAGGAGAATTTGGACATTGTTTCATTGCTCTAGAGGATTTTTTTAAAGTAATCAACTCTGAGCAGAATTAAAAATACTGTGTGATAGAATATATATTGAAACATTATATAAGCTAACAAGAAATGTTACAAGTCACAAAATGTTATGTACTTCTTGAGCAAAGTTCTAACTATTGTGCTTAGAGTCAATTCTTCTTCTTTTGCACTAATTCCATCTCCCACTCATCCACTGATTGTGGCTGTTATATACTGTTTTATTCAGATTTCATTGTACAAGCATTCTGAGAGCTCCATGCTAATGAATGGGATTTAAAGCCTAAATAAATAAATAGTTATTCCTGACAGATAACTCACTGCAAAGAACAGACTCACTGCATTCTCAGGGCCTTAATGGAATCTTTAGCCTGACCTGAACATTTATTAAAATTCATTTTCAGCCAGTCAGAATGGGTATTTTCTAAAATCTGTATGGCATTGACCAATATAACCTGTTAGTCTCATATACTTGGTTAGAAGAGGAGTTCCACATGTAAATGGAATTGTTCTCCAATGAATACTAATATCCACAACTATCACTTTCTTAATGTCTTTGGAATTTAATATACTGTACTGTAAGACAGTATGTACTCTAAAAAGAAAATTAGAGGTTCTTAGAATATTGGAAAAATAATTTGGCAGCTCTAGTGTCTTGTATATCAGAGTTCCACATCCTAACATTTATACATCCTCATAACATTACTGAAAACTGAGCTGAAAAGCAATTGGTGCATTTGTCAAGGTGTTCTAGAAGTAACAGGGAAAGATGCCATCCGCCACCTCTATCTTCTTCCTCCTCAGCTGAAAGGCTGCAGAGATTTAAATAAATCTACAGCCTGTGCCAGAAGGACCAGCTTCAATCCTGCAAGGCATTGTGCTATGCATATTAAAAGAAGCTGAAATGCTAGCAGAAGCTGCCTTTTGGCACACAAAAAGAATTCCATACTCTGCTCAGCCCCTTGAGCAGACTGAATTTCAGATGTTAAGAGCTCATTCTTTTATATAAACAAAAAAGCACTCTGTACAGAGACAGAACATGGTCTTGAAACTATCCTCATCCTGGTCATATAGCTAGAGTCTTTCATGCAACCATAGAGTCAAAGAGTCTTGTGGCACCTTAAAAACTAACACATTTATTTTGGCATGATGCATGATAAAGTGTACAGTGTTCGCAAAAGCTTAACCAGAACAAATGTGTTAATTTTTGAAGTACTTCAAGGCTCTCTGCTGTTTTCAATGCAACAGACCAACCTAAACAATCCTCTGCAAACTACTTCATGTCATACACAAATTACTTGCTATCACTGAATGTAAGCAGGCACTATCTGGGACAGAAACTCCCCATTTCTCCGTTCTGACGTTTTTAAGTTGCCCTATTGTTGGAGGCACAGTAACTGAAGTTCCTGTGAGTCTTGACCCTAACTAGCAATAACCGGAACAGTCTAATTTCCATGCCACTTTCCACACTACAATGGTACCAATCCAGACTTTCAGAATTGCAGCATGGGTCCAGTGCAGGTTTTGGGAAGGCAGAGAGGGGAGCAGTGATATGGTCAGGAAATAACAAGAGAACAGAAAAAATGGTGGCTGTGATATTCCTGAGAATTATCTAGAAGGGGATATTGCCTTTCACAGGCCAAATTAAGGGTCACCAAAAATGTGCAAGCTTTCAAGATCTCCAGTTCCCTTTATCAGGTAAGATCTTACAAAAAGTAGGCTGGGAGGGACAGGAAGGATGACTTTATGTTGAAGCCACAAAGAGTCTGCATGGTCAGAGACTTAAGGTAAAAACAAGGGGGAGGGGGTTGCAGACATTCAAATTAGGTCATCAGAATTCAAGGTCATACATGAAACCAATAAAAACAGACAATGATTGAGACCTCCTTTCTGTGAATTTATATAAAACCCAGCTGTCACTCAAAACTTTTCCATGCTTATGTGAAATACATAAAGCAGAAGCACAAATAAAAGAATGTAAAAAGTAGTGACTGTGTGGGATCACTACAGTGCATCAGCGTCACCAGCTTAAACAGGTTTGACTGCTGGTACATATTCTCTCTAGTAACCTTGAAAATTATAGCACTCTGAGAATGTCCTGGCAAACATTTCTCGCTCACAAAAGCACAATCCCCAGACTTCCTTGCTGGTGGTAACCATGACAATTAAGTCCACTGAAAACTGACTGAAGTTTGCAGTGCAGATGAGATGCAATAGGAAGTGATTACAGTAGCAGTAGCAGTAGCTGTGGGACACTTGAGAAGAGACGTAGTTGTGGTTATGGGATGGAACAATGGATTTCATGGACATTAATGGGAAAGAGAAGAGAGGCAACATGTAGGGGTGCACATTTTGGCTGTTTCAACTGATATTTTCTATTTTTTGGCACATGGTTCCTACATGAAAGAACTTTGGCCAGGCTTGTTTTTCAAAATTAACATACATTTGTATGTCACCGTGTTTCAAAAACACAATAAAGGAACCTCTTTGCTCTTAATATTTCCTCCTGTTTTCATCACACCCATTCAGGGTTTTTTTAATCAGCACTCTGTCACCACCATTACCTACTGCGGCTAAATGATTCCTTCAGTGGATCAGGTTTTGCTTCCAGTTTCTGTCAGCAGCTATCTTTTGTCAGTTTCCCAGATGCTACCGCTTTCTGAACTCACTCCTTTTCCCTCAAGAGCCCCTCAGTTTCCCCCTTCCATTTCCTTTCACTAACTATCTGCTGTTTACTTTTATTCCTGATGCATATTCCTTACCCTCTGTAGTATGGAGAAAGAAATAATGTAGGGGCTACTATAGACCGAAATGCATGAAGTGATTAAACCTAGATGGTATGGGGAGATTTAAAGCCACAATTCTGCCCTTGAATGAGGATTGACAAGGGAGGCACTACGCAGTCTGGCTAAGCGGGCTGGTCAGTGTCATAAACTGGCTGCAAATAGCTGAACAAACTCAGATACATCCTCTGAGACACTGCAATGCACCGTGCTGATGCAGCATTTCTCATGATTCTGAAGCTACTCGGCTAAAAATTACACTGCAGCAAAAACAAGGGCCTGTTTGTCATCTTTCTAATTAATCCGTTTAGGCAATGCAGATCAAAGTAGGCTGCTGATGCAGGGAACTGCCATTCATTGCCTCCATCCACAGCATGGGAGGGAGGCAAAATCTTTCAAAATCTTTATATGTTTCTAAGATAGATAGATAGATAGATAGATAGATAGATAGATAGATAGATAGATAGATACTGTTTGTAGCCAATGCATTTTAAAAACCCTTCTTGCATAAGTAATACCAACTAATCCCTGAAAGGAAAATGAAAGTTTCCACTTACCTGGTTGTCCCACATTCAGCTCTTTCACCTGGTGGAGGAAATCACATGTTAATTTCATTTTTGCTTACATTAAAGTCACATATAGTTTGCTAGCTTTTTCTTTAAATTAGGGGAGACTCTTCTAAAGATTGAATATGGGTTAACTGCATGGAGTGAGCAAGAAACTGAATGGACTTGAAAACACTGCACATTGTTGAGAAAAATGGCCTATATCTAGGATGTCCATCTTTATTGCTGAAAGATGTCTTGTAAATAAATAACAATAACAACCACCACCACCATCTGAGGTTGCCCTGAAGGCACATCTCAGTTCTCTATTCTAATCATTGCACAATAAACTCACAGATTATGGGAGCTTGGTTTTGCATAATCACTATCTTCAGCCCCAATATCATACTTTTTGTCCTTCCAACAGTAGAATTACAGGCACAGAGGACTACTTTACAGCACTAAAGGTTGCTAAAGGATAAGCATCATCGCAAAGAGATTCAAGATCCTTCTATAGCTGGTTGGTCACCCAAGAGCCTGTTGGGGATATTTTGGGGAATGGGAGCTTTTAGTTGTATCTCTGGCTTTATCTTTTTATTAGTAGGATCTTAAGCTCTTTTAAAGAAATGTTATCTGCCTCGAGCCTTCAGGGATGAAGTTCGTTAAGAGCTTAAATAAATTATTAAAGATCCAGGCAGCTGGCATAAATCAAGTAGCCCTACTGTCAAAGCAGCTGCAGTCAGTTTCCACCAGATGAAGATCTGTTGACAGAACTAGTCTCCTTACAAGCAAATCAGGATGAAACGCTTTCTTACTAAAGTGTTTATGATGTTAATGACAAAGAAGAATATGGCAGAAGTCAGTAATAAAATGCAGAAGCAAAAATAGAAAACCAACCATTAGAAAAATAGAGCTTAATGATGCAAAGTTGATTCTAAACAGAATACCCTTCCTCTCTCCCAGACCAAAAACAGTGAACTGCACCCTCATGGTGGATCGTGCTATTTAGGGGCCAATGTTCTGGCATTTTTAGCTGGTCTACCTCTTAACCTGATGCTGTATAATTAGCTCATCCCACCCAGGTCGGTTTGTTCCTCAGCTGCCAGGTTCTCAATGCCTCGCTGTGTTAGCTCTGGATATGCTGGTCCCGGCATTTCGGCTCTGAATTCCAGTCCTGCCCCTTCTGAATCAGAATCTGAGCCAACAACTTTGACAACTCTACTACAGGAGAAATAGGGCAAATACAAGATCTGTCCCTTAATGGCCTTTATTCCTAGCAGAGAAGATGAGAGGAGCTGGAATGACGAGATCAGGAAGAGTCCTGTTAAAGGCCGCCATTCTGAGAGAGCAAGCCAGGAACTAGTCCCTAACAAGGGCTTCTAACAGCAACAGTTAACAGTGGGAAAGGAAAGTGAATGATTTTGTAGCTCAGTTTTTCCTATGAGACAACTACCCATCTGTTTGTATCCAGGCGTTATTTCTTTCAATAGCCTCACTTCCTTTATATCTGCTGGATTTGATGCAAGTTGCAGGAATCTCACCAATATAATCGATCATTTTTAGAAGCATAAGTACACTCTGATAAACACATTCTTTTTGCAAATGTTTCTAAGCATGTGAATGTAAATGTAAAACATTTGCAAATATATTACAGGCTCAAGCTTATGTCCAGGAAGAAGATGGCCAAGAGTCTGCAAGTTGTACAGAAAAAGAACAAACTACCCCAGGAAGCATGTGCATATCTGGATATCTATCTGGACTTATACAGAGACAGAGCTACCACTGTCAAAGTCAAGAGAAACTAATCCAAGGCCTTGGTAGCATAGCCAGCTAACCATGGCACTACTGATGCAGTTCTAGATAAACAGAATTATTCTTATGCTTCTTATCAAATAATACAAGTGCTTGAAGCCTTAGCTGGAATATATCTGTCTTGATCATATCTTTGCTAAGAAGGAAAATGACTAATAAAGCATCAAATCACATCATGCTTTGCTTGCTAATGTTCTCTTTGTACTGCCACATCTCAGAGGCTTGATGTCTGAATTATGAAAACAGCCCAGATGGGTCAGGCTTCACCAGGCTTCACCTAACTTCTAGCTCCTCTTCCTGTTGATGTCAACAGCCTGAATTTGGGAACAGCTGCTCTTCGATCTGCCTGACAGTGTGCAGTGATTGATTATGCATAATAAGATCCGCACCAATGCTAATATGAAACACAGGCCTAACCGTACAAGGGCCTGAAAGAGAGAAAGTCATGGTTCTATTAAGCGGCATGTGCTTGAAAGATTATCAACTCTGCGGCACAGAGTGAAATTTCCAACACTGAACAGAAAGTATTAAAACATTCCCACAGTTCCTATATTTAAATCTTTGAAATTCAGTCCAGTTTAAAGAACAAACAGCATGTAACAAATGGCTGGCTCTCCTGATGACTCAGTCTTAAAACTATACAGACCTGGAGAGACAAATATCTGGGAGCCAAGCCAAAGAAAGCTAATTAAACTTCTATATGTTAATATCTATGTTACAAAGGCTGTGGTTTTAGAAGCAGATCAAGGGCAGTGGATTCTAAACTTCAGGAAGTACATTCTCACTTGAGTTTCTGACAGCAATATATAGCAATAAATCACCAGAAACTTCTGCAAATTGAGTATTGCTAAAATGAGAAATAGTCCATTGTTCCCAAGCACAACTTTAAAAAAATAATGGGTTCCAGTGAAGCTGAAGCTCCAATTTTTAATCAGGACAAGAGATAAACCATGCTTTTATGCTTAATTTCAGTTAAAACAACACTGTTCCTGAAATGTTTTGAACAGTTTGTTTGCTCAAGTAGAAGCAACTATCTATCATGGGTAGCTATAGAAAAGTTTGGAGAAGGAATGGTGGGGAAACAGCCCAGAAAGGCATTTTAGAAAATAAGAAATTTCCTATGGGATAACATTTGTAGCCCAGAGTCCATTTCAATAGTATCAGTCAACTTAGTTCAACTAAGTATTGGTTAACTTAAAAGCACTATAGCCAAACCAGAATCTAGCAACTCTAACAAGAGAACAATCCCAATAGAAGACTGGGAAGGAAAAAAAAAAAACCTTTAACCTTATGAAGGTTATTTGTTACAGAGCATTAAAATGCCCCAGAAAAGTTGGTGAAAACACATCAGAGACTGCTAGTTCCTGGCCGTGGTCAGCAGAGAAAAAAGGAAGGTGCAATAACATATTGATTTATAGGCCCAGATCAGGAGTCCCACTGGGCAACAAGATAGTACATGTTGTCTTTGCCTGTCTGTGTTCACCTTGAAATAGGTCAATATTTCTCAAATTCTGCTACCAGGAAGGGAGAAGAATGCCTCTTACACAGGAAACTGTACCAGCCCAGAGCTCTCCTGACAGGTGCAGTCAATTAAAGCCAGTTGAGTTGCTAGAGGATGTACTGAATGGTTGCAAGCATAAAGCCAGTAGCCAACCTAAGCCTTCCTCATTCCTCTCAGCAAGTGGGACACAGGTTGCTGCTGTCTTCAGGTTTCACGTCACTGTCCAGTACTGGCCATTCCCGTAGGGCAGGTTTAGACAACTTGTAGTCTTTCAGATGTATAACCAGCTCCCATCATCCCTCAGCTTTGGCTATCCTAGTTAGCACTGGCAGGCCAAAACATCTGGAAGGCCACAACTTGCCCAATCCTTCCTCTGAGAAAGTGACATGCAGGATTCTAATGGAAGAAAGGAACGGGGCATGTCTCCAGAAACATGTTTCCACAAGGCATTGTGATGCATCCTTGGGACAACCCTGAGTAATATGCAGAATACTCAGGTCATATAGAGAAGTATTGAACAAATACAGACAGAGCAGTGGTACTCTAGGGCATGCTTATCATATAATTCGGAGTGTATAGCAGAAAGGCAACTTCCAGCCCACTTTCTAGTCTTTGGAAAATTTATCACCCCCTGCATCCTGCCTATCTTGAGCCCCCTTTCCTCCTCAAGCCTGACCCCAGGCGAGTGGAATTCCCATGCAATCTCACAGTTGGGACATGGCTGACATGGGAAGGAACAACCTGACTTCTCTGGGATGTACTGGAGCTGACTTCTGCAAGCCATGATTTTCTCCATGTATAGAAAAGCATGAAGCTAGAAAGCTCTTTTTGCATGGAAAACATTTTACTGGAAAAGTGGGTGGGGCAGATGACATGATGGAAGGGTTTCAAGGTGGGATGCTAAATGAGGGCACAACCACCTGACATAATCCAGCCCATCAGCTTGATCCAGGGTCAGTCCAGTTCCTGAACCAAAAGTGGTTCCTTTCCCTTGGCCTACAGAATTGCCTTTGTACTGGGGAAGTCTGCAGGTGATAAACTGCAGAGGTTTTTTACAGGAATAGATGTTTGTTGACTGTGTTGCCTTCCAACAGAGCTCTCTCTCCATAAGCTTTTCTAGCAATTGTGTTAAGAATAAGTACGCAAAACAAAAAAGGCCATATAGTCTAGTAGCAAGTTCCAAGAAACATTAATGCTGCAAATAAAGCCATTAACCATAAATCCTCAGAAATGAAAGGCCTGGGGGCTTGTGTTTTAATTCCACTGATCAACTTAACAGCCTTCAAGTACAGTGTCAGAAATCACACATTTTTGCTAGTTTTCAATTTCACTGCACATCATCATCATCATCATCATCATCATCATACAAAATACTCAAGCAATTCACACTTTACATTTACTAAAGTTCATTTTTAAAGCCATTCAGTTTTGCTGTAAAGTCTCTCTCCAGAGTAATTCAACACTTATCGGTTCAGATATCATTTGATATATCGGTATATCATTTCTCCTGCTGCTGCTACTCTTGGCTTTTGGTTTCAAAAACAAGAACTTAAAAGCTTCTGGATGGGGTCAGGAAAAGTTTCTGTACACTCATCGTTTGTCTGATTTGCAAATACTAAAATTCTTTACAAAGATCCTTTATTTGCCAAATGAAACGGATAATTGTTAACAAGAACACAGCGTCCATGTTACAAAAGAGCATATCCACGGGGTCCAATGTTTTCATTTTTCTTAGTCACTAAACAAAGAGCAGCCACTTACATTTCCTTGACAGGCATGGCTGGAATAATGGGGTTCATCCCAAACGCTTGCAATGCCTGCCTTATGCCTTGAGGAACAGAATCCACCCAGCGGGGCATTCTGATGCCACTCTTGGTCAAAAATAAAAGGGAACAGACAAAGATTTTCTGCCTGTCTTCTGTTTACTGCAACAGATGAGATTTCAGAAGTCTGAGATCTTGTTAAAAATTTCTGTTGTGATAAGTAATATAGTTTTTGTTTGTTTGTTTGCTTGTTTAGACACATCTGTGACTTACCTTCTCCTAGAGTCTGCTTCAATAAGTCATGTTTAGCCTGCAGCTTGGTAATAAGATTACTGCCATTCAAATACTCTTTAAATTTCTGAAGGGAAAAATACACACACATAAACAAGTTGGGCAAAGATTCTTGGTAAATCAAAGTTTGAGGTATACATATTCGTCTCCCATGATGCTGTTTGGACTACCTATGCCAAATAAATGACATTTTGTAAGCTTTAATGAACACACAAAATTGGACCAAGAATGTCTTTTTCATTAGGGCTTTTACTTTTTCCACAATTTAAGTATCAGTCCTGTTGATCTTATTAGTCCAGAAACCTTTGTATTGAGCCATGTGTTTGAGGTCAGGGCCTTGGATCACAAGGAACTCAAAGACAACAGTTCAAAGAAAGCTTTCTTTTGTCCTGCTTCTGGGAATGGCCTCAATAAGGAAAGAAGCTTCCCCGCCTCACTACAGAAAGAGCTCTACTTTTGTGCAAACAGTGATAAAGCAGTGGAGAATTCTCACTGCATGAGGTCTGCTGGCTTGGCTGATCAGAAGCTTCTGCTGCTTTGGTGGAATGTTCAGAGCATAACTTTTATTTTCAGATTGCCTCATGTCCAATAATAACACCCCAGAGGCAAATGCTTGGAGGAGAGGAGGAAGAAAGAGGGGGAAAGAAACCAAAATAGGAAGGTTCATGAACTTACATATGAATCACCTTTACAACGCAAGTCACAGAAAGCCCTCTGAATTTAAGAAATATTTTCTATGTTGGTGTGGGTTACACACCAGCAAAGGAACCAGATTTTGCATTAGAAATTTTCTAGCCCTAACCTCACATTTGTCATGGAGTCAACAGACACCCTTAGGAAACTCAGTCTTAAACACCCCTTCGCCATATGGATGTTATTACATGGATCTACCTAACAGGGCCAAGTTTGTAGAATGAAATGTTTTAAACACTTAAAAACACCATATAGATACTAGGTAATGTAAGTTCTGCAAGGCAAGCATGATATCATCAAATACAAACAAGTTCAGTTATTAATGTTTGCTTCATTAAATGGGTTTTCTTCATTAAAAATAATTTATTTTTATATTGTACAATTCCTTTTTGTTTCAGCAGGCCTTGAACAGAAGACGTTCACAGAAGATTGTAAAAACTCGTAAAATAAATTGTAATAATATCAAGCTACTCCAGATCTCCGGTTCTAAACAGAAGAAATGAGAATATTTGTAAGCATGGGAGTCAACATGACTGTGCAAAAACTATTAATTCTAGTTTCCTTCTCGTATAGACGTATCTTAAAAAAAAACTTCTGATATAAATTATAGCATGCTAGAATTTCTGATCTTAAAAGTTCACTCATCAGTTTTTAAATTCTGCTTTTAAATTTTTATTAGTCTTTGTTGAAGGTACATGATAGAGATTTTGCATCTTTTCTCTACAACCATGAGATCTTGAAATGTGCCTTTCATTAAAACTGAAAAAACAAAGAAATGGCAACATTTTAACTCCTTAAGACCTAAATCTGATTCCCTGAGAGTTTATAATGACATTTCTAGCTAGAATGAAGGACTGCGACTGCCAAAATGTTGCATGGGGAAAAAGGAGTCATACTAGCTTGGCTGTGCTACATGACCTCTCCATGGTTGGAATATAAGCTGGAATTTGTTGGTTTTAAAGCAGCTGTTCTGAAAACAAAAATACCGAAAGGCCATAATGGGTGACCAGGGAGATCCAATTCTGCTGTTTCTCCAGTGATGTCACAGGAATCCTATAGATGACCCATGACATTATTACAACTATAGATGTCACAGAAATCTACAGCAGATTCAAATGAACATGAATTTTTATGATCCAACTTGCAGATTCCACAATGGGCTGGCTTTTTCTGAGTTGCATGGATTGTGAGGTTCCGAGTGAGGTTTGCCTGGCGCCGAGCCTATACTCTTTTCGGCGCCAGGTTAAAACCTTTTTATTTAATCGTTATTTTAAACGAACAGTATTTTTTTACTGTTTTACAGTCACTTTTGTTTTGATTGAATTTATTGTTCTGGTTTTGATAATGTTATTGTATTGTTTTGTTTTGTTGATTGTTCTATTGTTCTATGGTTTTGCTTTTAATCATGTAAGCCTTCCTGAGACTCAATAGTGAAGGACGACATACAAATGCTTTAAATAAATAAATTGTGTAGACTTCCAGACCAATTGTTTTGTTTTTTACTTCTGGAGATGTTTGCGCTAATGTGCCCTTGTTCAACTGGATTAGGTTCTGGAACATGACTACAAAACCAGTGGGTGGATGAAAAATTACTCCCAATTCATAGAACAAAGATGGAACAGACTTAACAGAATTGGCAGATTCCTAATTACAATATGGCCTGACATTGTCAGATTTTTACTTTCTTTTCTGAATATCTCCTGGGCCTTTACTTCTCTTACCCTTTCTCTCGCAGGCTAAAACTGCTATTTAAATTTCCCTAAGTTTTCAAGGAAGTTACCAATGCAATGCAAGGGGCCGCTGTGAATGTACATAAAGAGACACACTGGATTGCTGCATTCTTGGTCTTCAGCCTAGGAATAAAGACTAGGATAGGTTCTGGATGAAAATTAGACTCTAAGATGCTTGAACTGAAAGTGAGAGAAATACCCAATAGCACCATGTGAACGTTGTATTAAATTGCCGTACAGCTAAGTTTTGTAAGATGTATGTCCCAAGTATTCCCCTTCACTACCCAGGTTTACAGGAGAAGAACACTTCTGCAGCAAAGTTCTGTGACCCACTGTGTTGTAGAATTCCTCCTCCATATGAGCCATTGCCACTCCCAGAGGCCAAAGCATACCTTAGGCCTTTCTGAGAACTGGGTGCACACATGTAAAACTGTGCATTGTGTGTGGTTTCTTTAGATGCTGTAATACCAACACACCCTAACATTGCAGACAAATATAATCTGGCCTTTGTATCTGTCTCTCAATATGCGGCAGGGGGGTGGGAACCACTGCTCTGTAGGGTCAACTTCTCATCTACTGCTTTTTTATTACATTGTACTCTATATAGACAGAAGATTATTCTCACTGTAAAATAGAACATTTCAGTTTCTTGTTGGTTGGCTCTCCTCTTGGCAATGTTTATTTTACTCATGTAAGTCTCCGAAGCAGCTGATTTGACTGATTCAGTGGAGCGACTATGCTGGAAGGCATCTGAGACATCAAAATCTTCCACAGTCAGCATGTCTTGCAATGTTTGCATAGTGGCATCCAATGTTTTTCGCACCTGCAGAAATTATAGGCATGGAATCATATGAGAAAGTGGGAAAGGTACATTTAAGACATAAACATTCATGACTTTTGATACACTGGGTAGATTATTTCTTTTAACAGAGAGTTTTCTAGGAGGGGGAATTGACAAGGTCTTCCAATATAAGGCCTCCAGAGGATTAATTGAATGCTGCAATGCATGGATAGGCAGCCTTTTGAGCACCTTCTCTAATGTGTCTAAGGACACCTTGGCAACATATCTTTAAGGAAGCAATCCCAAGGGATTGCCTCCCAATGGTGGAGCTTGTCTGTGTAGCCTAAGCCCTGGAAGCAGGAGCAAGGCAGGGACCTCCCATTGCTCCCTTTCCTGTGCATATAATGCTAGACTAGCTTACTTGCCTTGCAGTAGGATGTACGATCTTGCATAACCTGACCTCTTCTCCTCCCTCTCTGCCCCAATTCCAACATGCCTTCTTTTCTCCCTCTCCAGCATGCCTTATCAGATCATAGTTGCAGCTTCAAGAAATAAACTTCCTGCAGTGGCTGTGGGGAAGATCAACAATTGGATGTCCTCTTCCGCAGCGGCAGATCTTGCGTGCAACCGGGCTCTGAATACAGATGCAGTATTTTCATAGTCTCTTGCTTGCTGACACATACACATAATCACAGAGACTTTCTCACAATTTGTAACTTTCCCATTCTCCTTCCTGCTCACTCTCCCTCTCATACACTTCATATATGCACACATGCATGTGCACACACTCATGCATGCTCACTCTGTGAGCAGTAAGGCAGGCAGGTGCTGCTCTTGCTGCATGCCTTGCCTCACTTAGAAAGCTGGTCCTGGCAGCAGCTACAAACAGCCACTTCTCAGTGTGCTGTCTGTGGCCTAGCGCCATTTACAGCAGAGAGTCTGAGCTTTCAAGCAACACAGCAAATGACTATTACATAGAAAACCACTGAGCCAGCTTCCTTTTGAGGACAAATGTCTTGCTTATTGTGTAGTTTGCTCAAATATCTGGTACAAATTACAGGAATGACAAACTAGCTTGTAGGATCGTCATTAAAATGAAGCAGGCACTACAACACCAGGAAGACAGGCATTCTGGTGCCAAGACACATCATGCATAGACAAGAAGCATCCACAGCCCTTCCATCATTTTAGTATAACCACAACAATGGTGTAGTTAAACAAATAGTTACACTGCTCCTTCCAGAGATATAGGTTGGAAGAGCTTAAGATCACGAAACGCATTGTAATCATGCCACCACCACTTTACCATGGATGGTGATAATAAGCTGTGCTGGATGCTAATACATCTAAGTTGTGTACCCAGTACGTTCAAGCCACTGCTCTTATTTCAGGTTCAAATATTACTTTTTCCTATCATCATCATCATTTATGTCCTGCTTTTTTTTTCCCCCACCCAAGGAATTCAAGGTGGCTTACATACTTTTCTTCCTCCAAAATCTTATTCCCTATGAGGTAGTTTGGGCTGTGACTGGTCCAAAATCACCCAGTGAGCTCCATGGCTGAGTGGGGACTAGATCCCAAGTTGTCTGAGTCCCGGACCCGCACTCTTAACCACTCCCTAACAATGGCTCTTTACATTTCACATCAAACAAGACCCAGATGGGAGGCCCAGAATTGTGTACTCCCTGCCCTCTTTCTTGAAGGAAGATAGAAGGTAGAAGATGACGACTAAATGGATGTTCTAAGAGGAGAAGGACCTTCTCTCAACTCCAAAAACTGAGGTTAGATATATAGCACTAGTTAAAATGAATATATTATCAAAGCTTTTGTTTTTATTCCAAATGATTCCCATAAAAATTGATAAAAAATTCTTTGATGATTTAAATACCCAAATCTCGAGATTTATATGGAAAAAGAAGAAACCAAGGATTAAATTAAAAATGCTTCAGGAGGCTAAAGGGAATGGGGGCTTTGGTCTTCCCGATTGGACATTGTATTGTCAAGCTTCTGTTTTAACGTGGCTAAAAGAATGGATAACTTTAACAAATAAGAGAATCTTGTATCTTGAAGGGCATGATTTGCAAATGGGTTGGCACACTTATATGTGGTATGAAAAGTGTAAGGTACATGGTTGTTTCTTAAATCATTATATTAGGAAATCATTAATGTCGGTGTGGGAAAAGTTAAAGACAAAACTGCATACTAAATTACCAAGATGGCTTTCGCCTATGGAAGCTCTTGTATATCCAAATGCATTGAATTTTGATATGATCATGAGATATGATGATATTTTGGATAATGATGGAGGATTAAATTTGAATCAAGAAATACAAGAACAAGGAATTAATATTTCTTGGTGGCACAAGGTTCAAATGCAATCGAGATATGCTAAAGACTATAGAATGTGGGGCTTTTATAAGGAGTCAACAGCATTTGATCACGTGATTCTTAAATCAGATGAGAAAATGATTAAAAGATTGTATAATTTCCTATTGGATAGGAGAATGGAAGATGAACAGGTTAAGGAAACTATGATAACTGGGCACAAAACTTTGGATATAATATTGAGTTAGAGAAATGGCAAAAGCTGTGGGAAAGAAATATTAAAGTAACATTAGCAACCTCATACAAAGAAAACCTGTATAAAATGTTTTATAGACGGTATCTGTCGCCAAATAGATTAGTTAAGTTGTTTCCAAATACGTCAAATGGATATTGGAAATATAAACACAAATCAGGTACTTTTTATCATATGTGGTAGACCTGTATTACGGCAAAAAAGTATGGGATTAAAATACATAAATGGCTTGAGGAAATGTTACAAAAACCTCTAACATTTAAACCTGAAGTTTTCTTATTAGGCATGGTACCTGATGATCTTCGTAAACAAGCAATGTATATAACTCTACATGTAACTACTGCGGCAAGGATTGCATTTGCTCAGCACTGGAAGAGTGAAGAGCCACCTACCGATGAACTGACTCTAAAAAAATATCTTGGACTGTGCGGAAATGGACAGATTGACTTTGTCTCTGAGGGAGAAAGAAGATACAGACTTCTATCAAACCTGGGACTCTTTTTATCATTGGCTGGAGAAACGGGACTATGCATGGACTTAAATATGTTCATAGTTTAACATAAAAAGAAAAAATGTGGGGGGCTGTCCCAGTAGTTCTGATGTTTTTGATGATTGATGCTTTTTAGTTTCTTTTTATTAGGTATATTAAGAAGGTAGAAGACAAGGAAGACCAAATATGAGATGGGTTGACTCTATAAAGGAAAGGATAGCCCAGAATTTACAAGAGCTGAGCAGGACTGTCATGGGCAGGACATTTCAAAGGGCTTTCATTCATACGGCCACCATAAGTAAGAGATGACTTGGCAGCATACTCTCCAACAGCTGCCCCTCTTCTTCATCTTCACTATGAATTGGGAGACTCCACATCTGTTTTGAACACACAGTCACCTTGATCCTGCAAAATTATTCAAACAGGCTCTGAGGTTTTACCTAGACACCAGGTAGTCTTTTGTTTGTTTATATCACAAACCACATGTTATAAAATAAGCAGGCTGAACAGGTTTGCCATCCAGATACACCTGTCTGTCACACATTCTCCAGGGATCACAATCCATTGGACTGAAAATGTACGGAATCCAACAAACATTAACCATCTATATTGGGTTCAATGTCACCTTGTACAGAATTATTAGCATGCCCAACTTTGTTTATTTAAAGATTATAGACAGCTCTCACCTCTTCATTCTCTATTTTGAGTGTGGCAAGTCTAGACTGCAGCTGGTGATATCGCATAAGCAACTCTGTCTGAACTGGCTGTTGGGCGCTCACTTGGCATACCTGAAGTAACAACAGAGAGGCCTTTAATTCAAGTAGATCCTAATATTGAGAGTGATTTATTAGTTAAGGGCAATACCCAACATTGCCATTCCACTTAAACAACAGATGTAGCACTTGCGACAGGTTTTTCACACCGGCTTATCTTACTAGCATCATGCCAGCTTGCACTAGTGCCCTGTCAATGGCAGAAATGGAGCAGCACTGTGGGAAACTGCTCCAAGGAAAAAGAGTGGGCATCTCCAGAATCATTGTTGGAAATAAAACACAGAAAACAAATGACTTAAATTTTAACCACTAGTACAATTCTTCCTTTGAAACTGAAATATATCCCACTAAAATACAAGCTACTAGAAGCAATTATGCTTTTTTAAATGCTGAAGCATAAAAGCTGCTGTGGTGCTTTAAAGTCTACTTGCTTGTTGGCGCAACCTAAAGTCAATTATATAACAGTTTTCCCAAAGTAAGCATCTTAATCACTTCTTTAAAAACTAAACATGAGTAATTCTCCTGTACAAAAGATGTGGTGTAGCCAAGACCAGCAGTATTTCAGAAGTTATGACTGACCGTGATTTGGCCAGAACGATGGTGAAATGCTTGCTCATGCAATTTCCATTTTCTAAATTTGTCTCCACAGAAGGAAAAAAAGTGTCAAACAAATATTGAATGAGAAATCAAAATACTTACACAGCAATGCAATCTAACTGGAAAGTAAAATAGAAAAAGTCTGGGGCATGTCCTGGCAATTTGGAAGGCCTGCTATACAAGCACAATAGAAGTAACTCTATCTAATCCTAGCCAGAAAGATCATAAAATCATAGCATACTAGAGTTGAAAGGGGCCAATTAGGTCACTGGGTCCAACATCCTGCTCAGCTCAATGCAGGACTCCCAGTTAAAACAGCCCTCTCAGATGGTTGTCCTGCTGCATCTTAAATCAAGGTGGATTGGATTTAACTCATAATTTAAATCACTAGTCAGTAAGCATAGATTTAAATCATCCTTTTCCACATAATTTGCACACATGCCTGACATACCTGTGGGTAGAGAAACTGCAATATAATATTCCCAAACTAGGTCTCTTTTACAACCTGCTGCCATTATAGGTTTTCTCCTCCAGGGAAAGAATAATGTGATAATGTTCAGGCTATACACAAAAAGAACCAAAGACTTGTGGAGTATTCCGTTAAAAAGGTTTCACTTTCACAGCTTATCCCTCCCTCTTCACACTTAGCTTCTTGTGCAGATGTATTCCACTCCAAGAATCTTCTGCTATTCAGTGAATTTTTTGAAACTTAGCACTTAAAAGGCAAACAGTTGATTCTGTGTACATAGATTTGCAAAAGAACAATGGGATCTAAGTTCTGTATGTTTAATGTTACAATATTTTTGCTGTGAAGAAGTATATGATCTCTGCAGACACAAATTCACAGTTTTGGGAACTGTAAAACCAAGCATTAGTGATAATATCTTCTGGATAGAAAAATTGCCCAATAATCTCACAGAAACCTCTGGAAGAGCATGACATTGTGACTGGATTAATGGAATCCATTTACCAAAAAATTAAACATTGCATGAATACACAGCCTCATGCTACATAATTAAAAACTAATCCTTATTCATGATGAATAACCATTGGACTATAATGTACCTTAAATAGAAAACTACCTTTAGAATAGTTTTTTTTCTCAAAAAGTATTTTATTTTTTAAAAATCCAATTTAAATTTTAAAAATCATTTTTTTATTTTTTATCCATCCTGTCTTGGATGCTTCCAGGGTGGGAAAGCCCATTACTTCCCTAGGTAATTGGTTCCATTGTCATACAGCGTGTATTTGGCTTCCTGTAACTTCAGACCATTATTCTGTGGCCAGTGCTTGGAAGATTGCAAAGTCCAAGTGACTGAAGAGTGTTGTTGTATCTCCTCTCTCTTCTCAAGGCGACATGCCAGATTCTTTCAGTTTCTCCCACAGGGCATTGTTTCCAGAGTCCCCCTCCCCTGAACCTTTGCAGTTTGTCTGCAACCTTCTTAAACTGCAGTGTCCAGACTGGACACAGTACTCAAAATGAAGGCAAAGCAATGTTGAATAGAGGGGAATTGGTACTTCCCATGATTTAGAAGTACTACTTCAATTAATGCAGCCCTAAATAGCACCTTCCCTTTTGCAGCAACATCACATTGTTGATTCATATTCACCTTGGGTTCTACAACTTTGACTCCAAGATCCTGCTCACTTGTACTGTTGAGTCAAGCATCCTGCATCATATAACTATGATTTGGTTTCTTTTATTAATGTGAAGAACCTGACTTTTGTCCCTGTTGCATTTCATTCTGTTGTTTTTGCCCCAATGCTCCAACCTATCAAGACTGCTTCTGTTATCCAGGTTATTAGCTATCCCACCTTGTAGTCATCTGCCAATTTCATAAGCATTCCCTGCACTCCTTCATCCAAATGATTAATTAAAATGTTGATGATCACTTGGCTCAGGTCTGAACCATACAGTAGCTTACTTGTTTCCTTTCCCAAGTTTGAGAAGTTGTCATTGATAAGCATTTCTTTAGTCCAGTTCTGTAGCCAACTGTGGAACTACCCCATGGTTGTTCCATTTGGCTCACTTTTAGCTAGTTTACTAATCAGGATATCATGAACCACTTTGTCAAAAGCCTTGGCAAAGTTAAGATAAATTATGTCCACAACATTCCCACAGTCTCCAAAGAAGGTTGCACAATCAAAAAATGAGATCAGATTAGACTGGCAGAATTTGTTCTTGACTGATCCATGTTGGCTTTGAATTACAAGATATTAAAATATGGAAGAGGTGAATCTTTTTTCTACAGCCACGTACCTCATCCCCCATGTGAGGTTGGTATTCAAACTTCAGAGGAGGACAGAAGACCTGGTTGCACATATCCATGACTGTGTGTTTGTCACTTCGTGCATCCAGATTGTCTACTGCATTCTCGATTATGTCTAGTCCTTCATGGCGTGAGGTTTCTAGATTGTATTCAGCGGACAGGTACGTCCTGAATGTCCGCGCCAGGCTGGCATGGAATCCCAAGTCACAGCACTAAGGAAGAAAAAGAAACAGTCATAAGATTAAACAGCAGCTACTAACTTCCTAGATATTGACATAATGGCACCTCCATTTGGAAAAGTTTCTAAATACCTACCGAGAAGAGGAATCATACATGACTACTGGGAAAATCAGTGTATCATTACTATCAGGAAAAATGATGTATTATGATAAGAGGAGTTATTTTTAGAGGGATCAGGATTTTTAAAAATATTGTTATGCGTAGTTTATATAAAAACATGATACAATGCAGAAAATAAAGGAAAAAGTCCGTACCATGCCTACAGGTATAAAATCTATGTAGGACTAGACACACAAGAAAAATTTAACAGTGGAAAACTATATATATGCTTGCATTGCATTACATTATTGATCTCAATTTCTATGTGCAAATACTGTAAATGGATGGGATGCCTTCAAGATTCCCTTTCTCATCTGATGGAACCCTACTTAGAAACCATAGATCACAATCATGGGGCACTGATACTGAAATGAGTTCCCCAAACTTATCCTTCTTTACTTTCTTGTTTGATCTACATTTTTCCTTCTTCCATGCATCAATAGCCATGTTTAAACCAAAGAAATTATATTAGGTGATCCTAAAACACTAAAAAGAATTAGTTTTCACTGATCTCTATGGAATGTCCATGCAAGTGTGCTTAGTACTGAGTCCTTCATTAATAAACGGCCTTGAAAAATAACTTGAGATTCAAAACAAATCCCTATTAGCATAAACCCTAATTTATGTCCCTGTTAACTTCCTCCATGTCCCTCATGATAAAGTAGCTTTTCATGCATAAAAAGCTCTTCTAATCTCCTTCACCTCAAAGAAATTGTGAACTGTAATTGCAAACCTAATTTGACAGATGAACCAATAGCAGGAGTGAAGAGCTATTGAAATCTTCGTAAAAGTCGTTTTTATGGTTATGCCCAAACAGAACTTTGGCCAAATAACCAATGTAGAGACAAACTGATGGTGGGGGGAGGGGGGGCTGTGCGTCTGTGTGCGCGCCAGAGAGAAAGAGAGCACAACGTCTCAATAAAATGGATGTCATATTCTTGGAACAAAGGACTTGAAACAGAAATGGGGTAAGGTGGAGATTCAGCCAGGATTGCTAAAGCTGAACTGACAATTAATATGGTCAAAATAATCTGAACTATTACACAGGTGCCAGTGATGGCGTGCAGTCATTTAGACCTCGTTTCTCTGACATTGCAACTCACTTAATCATAAAGGTGCTAGGATTGCACTTTGATTGAGTGTTTTGGTCACGCATACAAGATCTCAGCAACTTAGTGTGCAGTCAACAAATTTAAGCACTCTAGATCCTCCCAGAAGATGCTGTTATGTGCTGTTAAGATGTCTGTTATGGCAACCCTATGAGTGAATACCTTCCAAATGCCCTATCCTTGACAACCTGATAAGAATTCATGGCTGTGGCTTCCTTTATGGATTCGCTTCATCTCATATTTGGTCTTCCTCTTTCCTTCTGCCTTCTACTTTCCCTAGTGTTATTGCCTTCACCAGTGACTCTTGCTTTTTCAAGATGTGTCTAAAGTATGACAGTTTCAGTTTCATCATTTTTACTTCCAGGAAAAGTTCTAGCTTGATTTGATCTAAGAACCTTGTTCATCTTTCTGTCCAGTGTATTCTCAAATCTCTTCTCCAGCACCATGTTTAGAATGAATCAATTTTCTTTGTATCAGCTTCCTTCCCTGTCAAGCATTCACACATGAGAATATACACAGTATATCACAGAAGTGAGTACACCCCTCACATTTTGTAATATTTTATTATATCTTTTCATGTGGCAATCCTGAAGAAATGACACTTTGCTGCAATGTAAATTAGTGAGTATACAGCTTGCATAACAGTGTACATTTGCTGTCCCTTCAAAATAACTCAACACACAGCCATTAATGTCTAAACCGCTGGCAACAAAAGTGAGTACACCCTGAAGTGAAACTGTCCAAATTGGGCCCAAAGTGTCAATATTTTGTGTGGCCACCATTACTTTCCAGCACTGCCTTAGCCCTCTGGAGTTCACAAGAGCTTCACAGGTTGCCACTGGAGTCCTCTTCCACTCCTCCATGACAACATCATGGAGCTGGTGGATGTTAGAGACCTTGCGCTCCTCCACCCTCCGTTTCAGGATGCCCCACAGATGCTCAATAGGGTTTAGGTCTGGAGACATGCTTGCCCAGTCCATCACCTTTACCCTCAGCTTCTTCAGCAAGGCAGTGGTCGTTTTGGAGGTGTGTTTGGGGTTATCATGTTGGAATACTGCCCTGCGGCCCAGTCTCCGAAGGGAGGGGATCATGCTCTGCTTCAGTATGTCACAGTACATGTTGGCATTCATGGTTCCCTCAATGAACTGTAGCTCCCCAGTGCCGGCAGCACTCATGCAGCCCCAGACCATGACACTCCCACCACCATGCTTGACTGTAGGCAAGACACACTTGTCTTTGTACTCCTCACCTTGTTGTCACCACACACGCTTGACACCATCTGAACCAAGTAAGTTTATCTTGGTCTCATCAGACCACAGGACATGGTTCCACTAATCCATGTCCTTAGTCTACTTGTCTTCAGCAAACTGTGGGCTTTCTTGTGCATCATCTTTAGAAGAGGCTTCTTTCTGGGACGACAGCCCTGCAGATCAATTTGATGCAGTGTGCGGCATATGGTCAGCACTGACAGGCTGACTCACCACCCCTTCAACCTCTGCAGCAATGCTGGCAGCACTCATACGTCTATTTCCCAGTGTCTGGATATGACACTGAGCACGTGCACTCAACTTCTTTGGTCAACAATGGCGAGGCCTGTTCTGAGTGGAACCTGTCCTGTTAAACCATTGTATGGTCTTGGCCACTGTGCTGCAGCTCAGTTTCAGGGTCTTGGCAATCTTTTGATAGCCTAGGTCAACTTTATGCAGAGCAACAATTCTTTTTTTCAGATCCTCAGAGAGTTCTTTGCCATGAGGTGCCATGTTGAACTTCCAGTGACCAGTATGAGAGAGTGAGAGCGATAACACCAAATTTAACATAACTGCTTCCCATTCACACCTGAGACCTTGTAACACTAACGAGTCACATGACACCGGGGAGGGGAAATGGCTAACAATGCCATTGGACAATTTGGACAGTTTCACTTAGGGGTGTCAGCAGTTTAGACATTAATGGCTGTGTGTTATTTTGAGGGGACAGCAAATGTACACTCACTACTTCACATTGTAGCAAAGTGTCATTTCTTCAGGGTTGTCACATAAAAAGATACAATAAAATATTTACAAAATGTGAGGGGTGTACTCACTTCTGTGATATACTGTCCATAGAGGTAGTTCATACTGCAGTATAGATTGATAATCTGATCAATGGCTCTATACAAGTTGTGGCAGCTAATGCTGTCTCTAGCATACTAGTAAGTATCTGAATTGCTGGGGAAAACAGTGGAAGATGGCTATTGTCCTCATGTCTTGCTTGTGGGATTCCCAGAGATCTAGAACAGGCCAATGCACAGAAACAGCTTGCTGGACTATATACATGTTTTGTCTGATCCAGCTTTTCTGGGCCCCTGTGTGTGTCTTTGCTAAAAAATCAATGACTTTTATAGCTGTTTACATAGCCACTAATTAGCTTGTTTCTCCAGACGGGTCAGCATAGTGGATATTTTATTTTTATTTTATTTATTAAAACATTTTATGCCGCCCCATTCGCCGAAGCCTCGGGGCGGCTCACAATAATTATAATATAAATTAAAAATATATGCAGGGTATTCAACAAAAATGCAAACCACATGGTGGGGGTGACAGTTATGAGGATCCAAACAGCATGACTTGTAGTCAGCCCATCACAATTGGCAGTTGTCAGCCTCTTCTTCCTGCAGTTTGAGGAAACAGTTCAGCTTCCATGTGCTGGAGACAAGCCTATTCCACCAGTTTTCCTGAATACATTAAATAAAGCTAGTGTGCAACTGAATCAGTTACGTGGGAATAGTAATCGCAGTTTAGGCAGAGTAAACTAAGGGGTATAAAAGCAGATACAAGTTGGGGAGAGAAAAGGAGTTGATATAAGGGCAGAAACCTGGGTTTTTATTTTTAATACTACAGTCCCTGACATATGAAAGCTGGATTGCTTCATGTTAACTTGGCATAAAAGCAGCTGTACTTAGAAGCAGGGCCTCAGGGCAATAGGCATCCTCTACCATTGTCTGCAGTGGACAATGTCTTTTTCTCAAAGGCATGCTTATTCTATAGCTATCAGGACTAGTAGCCATTGATAGCCTGCTCCTCCATGAACTCCTGTTACCACCTTTTGAAACAGTTTAAGTTGATGCAGTCAGCAGGCCTTGTGGTAGAAATTCCATAGTTTATGCATCATGTGAAGTATTTTTTTTCCTTTTGTTGGCCCTGAATCACCCATTCATCTGCTTGGGAAAACTCCAGATATTTTCTTCATAAGGTAGTTGCTTTGGCAAACTAGTAATTCTGGCTGCCTCGCTCTGCACCTTTCCCAACCCTATAATATGCCTGTAGATATATGGTGATTCTACACAATACTCCTTATATGACCGCACCACAGATTTGTATAAAGGTATTGTGATATGGATAGTTTTATTTTTGATCTTTCCTTAGCAATATTCAACATGGAATTCTCCTTTCTTTACAGCTTCCACACATGTCACTGAGCAATCCACCACAACCCAAAACTTTTTTCCTAATCAGTCATGATCAGCTGGTATCACTGCATTATATGAAGTGAGTAACAAGTTCATAATTATGTATCAACTAAATAGAATGGCAAATTTTCCTAAGATTTTTAGCTGGGCCAGCCATCATAATCCATAAGAACAGTTAAGTTCTTGAATAAGAACATAAGAAAAGCCATACTGGATCAGATCAGAGGTTCACCTAAGTCCAGCATTTCAGGCACACGGTGGCAAGGCAGCTGTCCATAGGATCCCTCAAGCAAGATGGGTGCAGGACTTCCACCTG